GCCGTGATAGGCGCACTATTTAAATTCATGTTCATTGATTGATTGATTGATTGATTGATTGATTGATTGATTGATTGATTGATTAGTCTTAGCTTATTTTATCCTATGTTTAAGAATAGTACTAAGTCAATTTGTGAAGGTAAAACAACAGTCAGTAGCTAAACTTGAAACTTGACACTTACTATGTTTGCCAAATGGCCAATTTAACAGTTTTTAACCACTGCATTGGGGACAACTTCACATTTCGGTTAATGTCTCTTAAATTGGGGTTCCCATACAAGAGACACACGTATTTGGTCCCAAAAGTGTTCCCTGGTAAGAATTCTACAGTGCAAATAAAATCAATAGATTACGGATTCACAAGTTAACCTGTAATTCACAGTATAATGAAACGCACACTAAACACATAAGACAAATTATAAACGTTGTTCACTTATATAATACAGTAAACATATAACGTCCTTGAACGTTTTCTTGTTGACAGCAACAATAATGTCTAATGCAACAGCAATCGTAAAGTAGCCCCGTGATTGCGATCGAGTAAGTGTTAGGGACTCGAACCAGGGTAAGTTGGTAGCACACATTAGCGAGCACATGGAACCAGTATATAATTTAAACGTTGATGAGTGGGTTATAATTTAATTAAAAAGCAAAAAAAAAAAACCCTTTCTGGTACAAATGCTAAAAGCATCTTCTATGTAAATATTTTGATATAAAGAAAGCCTTCATTGTATCTACGAAACCAACTAATAATATTTTACCGATACAGTTATGTACCACAAGACGTGTTGGAAATGATTCCAAAATTATCAGTCTTATGTTGAGGAAATTGAAGAAATGGTCCAATTTTACTATCAATGTTTACACTAGTGTTATTTGGCTTAATTTTCATAATTAGTTTATCTTTTTTTTCAAGGGTTTTGAGTCCTGGTAACATGATAACTGATATAGGGCAAGGTGCCTTTAATGGTTTGGCAAGTCTTCGGGAGTTGTAAGTGACAAATCACAAGTTATGAATATTTACAATTATATATTTGGCACTGAAAGCTAATCGTAAATCATTCCACATTGTTTACTATTCAGGTCATTCCAAAACTTATATATTTGGTGTAAAAACAAATATCATTGACAACAACACTCACCGACAACGACGGTAATAACAACACAAATTTACGACAAAAAGAAATCGCTGATAACAACATTCATTGATAAAGCAAACAACTATTATAAAAACGACAACGCTCGAAAAAAGACAAGTATGTATACCAACCAAGGTACAGGCTGCTCCGTATCTGGAACTCTAAATATGTATCGGCGATAGGTTTTTACCTTTGCTCAATGATAATAATTGCTTGATGTTTTTTTTTTTATGTTTTGAAGGGATTTGTCTTCAAAACAAATAACTCATCTAAAGGATGGTGCCTTCAATGGTTTGACAAGCCTCGAATCGTTGTAAGTGACGATCCACAAGTTACTTATTTTATCAGCTTCTTCACAATAATGTATGCATTGCCTGATGTTTCATTGTTTATGTTAAAAATAATAATCGTCGATAATGAACAACAATCTGAAAAAAAGAGATCAATTCATCATATCGACAATACCAGTCATGAACAACAAAATGACCTAATGGAAAACTACGCTCGAAACACCTTTTTTTTAAAAAATTGGGATCACTAATAGTAAATACAGTATATCCAATGCGTATAATGTCAATCGGTATTACAACATCTGCACAGGATATGCACACAGGCCTACATTGTAGGTGTTAAAAGAGTTGTTTTCTTTAAAAAAAAAAAAAAATCCTGGTGTCTCCAATAAACACAGCACCATGACATTAGAAAGCAGACGTCTTTACCACCATGCTACATTTCTGCTGTAGTATTCTAAATATTATATTGGCATTTACTGGAAAAAATAATATACACTCGCTGATATGTCAGCAATTTATTCTCGTTTGCTTTCTTTTAAGGGATTTGTCTAATAACGAAATATCTGGTGTAACAAAAGGTGCATTCATTTTTTTTTCGCGTGAGGGGGAGGGGTTTCCCCAATTATTTGGTAATTTATTTAATGTAACATCAAATCGAAGAATTAAAGGTACTTATAGAAGAAACCGTGTGTCCTTCTTCAATGCGTTTTGTGACACTTATGTACCAACTAATTTGCAGAATCGGGTGAAATAATAATATCGTCTAAGTAAATTAAAAGAGTTGAAAAGTTCTGGTCGCCTAAGCATGACATCATTAGTCCAAAATTTGGACTTCAAAACGCACCGGCTACGTTCCAAATGGCATACGGTTACACTCGAACAATCCAATTGGGGTAATAAAAGCTGTTTTCGCTTTGTCTTCCTCCGCATCCTCCACTTGCCAATAGCCGCTGGTTAAGTCTAGTGTAGAAAATAATCTTGCCATTCACCCAAAGCATCCATGGCTTCGTCGATTCTCGGAAGTAGAAATGCGTCCCTGACTGTCTTAGAATTGTTTCCAAAAGTCAATGCAGATGCGTAATGACCTTCTTACGAACAATCACCATAGGCGAAGCATAAGGGCTTTTGCTTGGCCTAATAGCACCAGCCTCTAACATGTCGTTGATGTGTGAACTTCCTGATATTGTGAAGGCGGGATACGGCGGAAGGGCATTCTAAATGGTTAGTTGTCTAACAGAGGTATAGGGTGATGTATGGTCTTTGTATGTCCAAAATCATTAGAATTGAAAAATATTTGTCAAGGGGAGATTGCAATGCATCGCGTTGAGTGTCCGATTTAATTTCTGATTGAGAAAGATCCGACAGGAACTTAGATGGTGATTTGTGGGGTTGTTGATTTATATTCATACTGTTCATAGTGAGTGGTACGTCGACTACACTCGAAATTGCCGATAGCGTCGCCACTGTGGTGTTATTACAAAGAAAAGTTTGATGGTCGGATACATTCAGGATTCGCACAACTTTATCATCCCGCTTGATCCTGGAGACTGAACGACCAACTAGAAAATTTGAATCGCTTCCTGATGACTCGACCAGCACTGTTGATACGCTATCTTTGAACCATACAGCGGTACATGTCACATCAAATTGTTGATTTGGTTTTATGCGAGTAAGGTGTCTGCTGTCAGGGGCGGATTTATTAGGGGGGGGGAGGGGGGGGGGGGGGGCGGCCTGGCCCCCCTCCCCCTTTTGGAAGGTAAAAAGAGAAAAGAAAAAAAAGGAAAAAAGAAAGAAAAAGATGATAGCCCACAACGCCTCAAATTTTATTTTCGGGCGTTCAGAACACAAAAATTTCCTGGACCCCCTAGGACATTGTTGTCTCGATCGGCCCAAATTTCGCCCCCCCCCCCCTTTTTGACATCTCTGGATCCGCCCCTGGCTGTGATATGCCGCTTTCCGAATGTTTTCCGGTTGAGTAATTTTCTCAATTTGCACGAAAGCTGCCTCGAAAACTTTATCCTTGCCCTTTACGTGGCCCTGGTCGTTTCTCTTAGCCACACGTAATACAGTACCGACTAGGACTGGGACTGTTTGGTGGTATTTTCTATTTGGGACAACAAACAGAGGAACAGCGAAAAATGTTTTTGAAGGATGGTAATAGCTGCTTTAACTATTCCGTATTATGGGGCACTCTGTCCATTTGCAGCTAGTACTTCTAATGTGCAGTGTTCCATATTTTTTTACTTTAGTTCTGGAATGTAATTATATAAATCGAGACTTATAGTTGAAATCTGCGAACCGGAATTTATTAGCGCATTACATTTAATGTTGTTAATCAATGTAGGATTCGTTTGTAGGTCCAACAAGGTTTGTCTGTCGATTGGGAGTATTGTATTCACCATCAACCTAACCTACTGTTGTGGTGACCTGATGCTCAACATGAATAGTTGACGATGGGATAATTGGTATTTGTATTTTGCTTGAAATTCTTCTGGGAATTTTATGGATTTTGTGGCTAATTGACACTGCGCCTTGAGCACCATTGGTGGAAATGTGCGCTTTATAAATCTTTATTATTATTATTATTATTATTATTATTATTATTATTATTATTATTATTATTTTATTATTATTATTGTTATATTATTGTTATATTATTGTTATATTATTGTTATATTATTGTTATATTATTGTTATATAATTATTATATTATTATTATATTATTATTATATTAATATTAATATTAATATTATTATTAATATTAATATTTATTATTTATTATTATCGGTGGCAAAACACTGATGATGAATGTATTACGTTTTGTTGTGCCAATTCTTTAGCTTGTAATTTCGCAGTAAGGAAACTCATTTTTCTTTCCATGCCTTGGACCAGTTCTCGTAGTGCAGTAACCTCGCTGTTCTGGTTGTTCTGGACACATTTGGTGCAGAGGTGGGGTGTGCGTAATTTGGTTTCTTCGTTCCCGCTCAAAAATCCGTATTTCGGATAAGACATTTTGAAACGGCATGTTCCACGGTCTCATTGGTGCTATACGGCCAAATACATCGTTGTCGTTGTTGCTGCACGAGCATTCTTTCCCTGTCATACATGGGACCTCGTCCCACTTTTTCTTCTACAGTACTTCTCACAACACGGCATCTAGTTCGATGGCATAAAAACTTGCCAACTCACCCGGTTTCTGGGTTCTTTTGGTAGAAGTCCGCTAATGGATCGCCGCTGGTCATGTTTCAAAATTGTTCCTTTAATTCTGCGAATGCTCGTTAGGGTGTTTGACATGGTATCAGGATGTTAAGCACTAGTTTCCTGGCGGTCCTGCCAAGATTTCTAAAGATTGTAGAAAATTGCATGTTGTGTGCCATGTTACTGCAGCTTAATATGTGTTGCACATCCCCAATCCAATCATCTATTGATATTGTCGAGGATTGTCCAGTGAATATCGGTACACCCTTCAGTTGGTGTGTCGGGGTATCTGCACAGAGTGTAACTGGCATGTACATGTTGTTCGGGACGATGTAGGCCTATGTTGCTCGCCTTTCTAACGGTAGGATTGCTGTTGGCGGTTCATATTGGGTTACCGGCCTTCATTAATAATTATTCCAGAAAAGATAAATGTTCAACAACGTGATTGAGCCTTTATGATCGATAGACGGACTTCTCAGCCACGGTACATTATGCAGTAGTTATCCAGTGTCAAAACTCCATGATAAAACTAGCGACGAGACTACGATACGATTACTTGCTCACTCCAGCGAAGGGATTACAACAGAACTGAAATAAAAATGTATTAAAGATGGATATCATAACATAAAGCAAACTAACATTGTCTTTCCTTTATTTGTTCTCATGCTAATTACGTTCACATAAACCACTGAATAAATACGTACAATTTCACCCATTTCATTATTACAATATTTCATGATTTAAGTCTACTTACGGGTTCAAAATATATACAATTATGTGGGTGACTGGACAGATTAATACCTGTCTCTTATACACATCTAGATGTGTATAAGAGACAGGGATTTGTCTAATAGCAATTTATTCTCGATTGCTTTCTTTTAAGGGATTTGTCTAATAACAAAATATCTGGTGTAACAAAAGGTGCATTCATTGATCTAAAAAGACTTCTAAAATTGTAAGTAACAATCTACAAGTTATAAAATATAATTTGTTGGGATTTTGATAGTCAAAGCAACAAACTGTTCAATATTATTTACTATTTTTGTCATTTCAAAATATCCGCATAACCTTATAATATTCGTATGATGACGTCCGCAAAAATCTAACGAACACGATAAGAAGCTCTTCTCTTGTATGAACGAGCTAAAGGCAGACAATAAATTGGCCATCAATCAATGTAATAGCTCCCAAGCAATACAGATTTTGAGACTAGGCCTTGGCTGTGGGCGGATGCATGGATTTGTGTCAGGATGACTGAACATTATTTTCTGATGGTTTGAAATCAGAAATTGTTAAGGATATAGCACTCTAAATTACCGAGAATAAGGCCATAATACTTTACGGAAGCTTTCTAAAGCGTGTTCAGTTGACAATTATCTCAAAACACACCATATAACATTATAATTATTTAATGTCATAGTTGGCGGTTGGGTGGGTTCAGAAAGCACATTTGCGAACGGAGTAAGGGCCGCCAATTGTGGTTTCAGAATCAAAAGGCCCCTTAAAAAAATACGGTTTTACTTCCTGGGAGACTAAATTTGTGATTATTGTTTTATTTTATAATATCATGTAATGACTTCCGATAAAAAAAACAACTAATCAAAGTGGATACAACTTAGGCGATACACTGTGTTACATTGATTATAAACCAACATTTGAATAAACATCGTGATCGATAACATGAGGAATGTTATTTACACATTATGAAAATCATATTGATATACCTATGACCAGTTTCATGAAATTATCGATTCGATAAAAAGAATGTATTACAGTACTTATTTTTAAAAAAAATAGTAATTTCACACCACTATCGAATTATTGTCTCACTCCATTCGTGGAAAATTCCACACGGTAACGTGCAACCACGTCAATTATTCGTTCGTTCTTGGGTCCTCAGTTTATTGAATTGTATTTTTATTTTATTTAGTCTTGAAGTACACTGTGTATTGAAGATGAAATTAATTACATTAATTACATTAAATCATATGCATTATATTGCCTTTCATAGACTAAATTTATAAGTATAAAGATAGATATTTCTTAATCTTGAGAACAAATCCAATAGTCAAACTACCAAAAATTTACTGTAGGCTACAGCTCACTATTTGTGTTCTAAATAGTTTATTTTCGCTTAGTAATTATATTGTCTGTTCTTTTTCGTTTTCAAGGTATTTGAATGATAACAAAATAACAAGTCTGAAAAAGGGTGCCTTCAGTGGTTTGACAAGTCTTCAAAAGTTGTAAGTGACAACTGACAAGCTATCAATAATCTGCGACCACAAACGAAGACCGTTTAGCAGAATATGTGTAAATTAACTAAGGAATGCAATCACTTTTAGCTTACTTAATAATCGTTTTTTGAACATTACGATGTCGTGTCTGACTAACCAAATGTAGAATTTCTTTGTAGGCCTTACATATTATAAATCAATTACAAACCACTGCCAAAACTCACGTATTATCGACAATACACCAAATGAGTTATCGATCACAAACAAATTATATAGATTAAAAAAATAATAATTGAATATACATTGTGATTGATCACATGACGAGTATTAAATACTGAGTATGAAAATCATACCGATTACTGGTTTTATAACAATCGATTCCATATCAAGAATCTATTTAAAAAAAAACAATTACTTTTACACCACTTACCATTTTCACACGTTACTTATTTCACATAAAATATTATTAATTAAAATTAATTTATATGTATTTATAGATACATGTAGGATGTACGGTATTAAATATGTATGTTGTATAAGGAGTATCCTTTTATGTCAGTTACATAACGATCACAGCTCAATTATCGGTTACAAACAATATAAACCACCATAATAAGCATTAATTATTTACAAAATAATGACGATTTTCAACACTTATTTTAAAAGTTTGTAATTGATTTAATTCTCGATAGAGACTTGCAAGTCAACGAGTTAAAGACCTACGATCCTGATACGTTTAATGGACTTATTTCCCTTACAACTTTGTAAGTTTTTAATATATTTGCACTTTCTTGGTACTACTGTTATCGCCTCCTACAATGTTAACACAATCATGTATACTACTAATAATACTACCATCAACAACAGAAATAATTATGACGATATATAATTTGTGCAATAGTATCATAATAAATACCCATTTTGATACATTGGTTTTATTCGGTCTTGTATTTCACAGATATTCGGATGAGTTTAGTATCTGCTGCATTATGAAACGTGTTCCCGACTGCCGTCCGGCTACTGATCAGTTTTCCTCTTGTAAAGATCTCTTGAAGAGGGAAGCGTTGCGGATCCTGATGATGATTCTTGGAATTACTGCCCTCATCGGCAACTTAGCTGTTATTATACTGCGATTGCTGGAAAATGACTTTAATGTCCAATCCATACTCATAACTAATCTTGCAGTATCTGACTTGTTGATGGCGGTTTACATGATAATCATAGCAGGAGTTGATCTTCGCTACAGGGGTGTGTACGCAACGTTTGCAGAGGCTTGGAAAACCAGTTTCCTTTGCAGTTTCGCCGGGTCTATCTCCACATTATCCAGCGAATGCTCGGTATTTATGTTGATGCTTATGAGTTTTGACCGTGCAGTTACCATAGCTAACCCGTTCAGCAACATCCGACTCAATCGTAAAAGATGCATTAAGATTATCGGTGTAGCCTGGCTGGTCATTATTTTTATCAGTTTCCTCCCGATGTTCAATCATCTAAGCTTCATCAACATACCGTATTTCGGAAGTAACTACTATGGACGTCAAAGTGTGTGCCTGGCTCTACCGCTAGCAAGAGACCGATTACCAGGCTGGGAATATGCCATAGCGATTTTTATCGCCTTTAACCTCTTTGGATTCGTCGTCATCGCCGTGAGTTATATCTCAATTTACATCTCCGTAAAGAGAACAGCATCGAGGGTTAATAGAAGTCAGAGGCGCGCAGAGGAGGTTAAGATGGCAACCAAGATGGCAATGATCGTACTAACCGATTTCTGTTGCTGGTTTCCAATTATCTTGATGGGGATTGGATCCGAGGTTGGTGCCTGGAAGCTCCCAGCCGACATATACGCCTGGTCAGCTACCTTTATTTTGCCTATTAACTCCTCTCTTAACCCATATCTTTATACAATCGCTTATAAGTGTGACTTTAAGAAAAAGTCACCGAAACAGGTGGCGATAGAAATGCGTTCAGTCCAGCCCAGACCTTCGCCACCGTAGAACAGTTGTCGTCCTGTCTTTTGCCACCTGGCGCGCCATGGTACATTTTCACTTCTCACTTTTTACCAAGCTTTTTATGACTTTTTCAAAGGTGCTAACATGTATCCTTCTTTTTGATCCTGCATCCAACAATTCAAATCCAACAAATAATTCGAATCAAGATTGCCGTTAACACTATTAAATTATATATAAATCATCAAAGAAAGGTAACTACAGTGTTCGAGTAAAGGACATAATAATACATCGTGTAGCATAGCTACAATACAATACAATACAATTCAATTCAATATACTTTATTCGCAACTAGAAACAGTTGAACTGCACATGCATAAACAAAATTTAAAAATTGCCTTAAAAGTTAAAAAATATCAAAACGGAGACAGTAGTACAGTAAAAACAAAAAAAAAAACATAAAAGGTACACAAAGCACAAAACAAGAAACAAAAGAGAGTACCATCATTATCGCTGAGCCACTGCACATTGTATTCTGTCGTGATATCGGCGCCCTATTTAAATTCATGTTGATTGATTGATTGATTGATTGATTATTCTTAGCTTATTTATTCTATGTTTAGGAATATTACCAAGTCAATTTGTGAAAGTAAAACAACAGTCATTAGCTATACTGCACTACCCAGTTTGATATTCCTATAGATTAGGACATTTATTCATCACGTCATTTAATGGCCTAGCAGATTAATAATTAAAATAAGAATTACGGTTTAATTATAAAGTAATGGTGAATTATATAGTGTTGTTGTATTTACTCTGTAGTAGGTGTGTTGTATTAGTTATGCTGTTCAGGACGACCACAAACGTGAGTGTCGTACGGCTTCAACCACATGATGCGGCGTAGGCCTACCTTACATTACATAAGGCCTACACATGATTCTGTGACGTTTTCGCCGTTTCGCTCCGGGTTACGGAAGAGTATTAGACGAGTAGATTGATGCACACTGTACAATAATATCGTGTATCGTGTTCAATGTTTAAGCTCAGTCCGATTGGTACAGTATCGATAGAACTACTTTTAGTAGAATAATATTGCACTGTATAGGCATATAATAGCGGTTATATTATTTTAACACAAGTATAATATTGTCTTAAGTGAACTTAAGTGATTCAATATTATCTTGCTAATATAACTCTATACGGTCCCTGTATCAATGTCATCGTAATACAGTGCCTTAATGTTACCATTTTACATTTCCACTATATTGTATTTTATTTAGATACTGTGAAATAGATATTACTTAGGCATTAGCCTTCTGTTTTATGTATAACGAGACACTGGAATCATACAATACATACTGCACTCTATTTAAGAATCTTGCGCACCGTTTACTTATTTGTTATTTATTTGTTTTTAACAATCTTAGCTGACGTATCAATTTCTCTAGGAGTGAACTGGCATTAATTTATATTAAACAAGAAACAGGTTACTTATAGGCACTCGAGATAAGTGTACGGTTTATTTTATTATTATTAGCATTATTATTATTATTATTATTATTATTATTATTATCATTATTATTATTATTATTATTATTATATTGTTGTTGTTTTCTTGAGGTTTAGTTAATTTTTAATAGCTTAAGTTTCAGTAATTGTAACGTTTAACAGGACCATGAAAATAGGTTTTAAAATACTTGATGTGTTATCCAGTTTAAATTTCTTCGGAAAAAAAAAATAATATGAGTGCATCGACTGTAAGGAAAGTGGGGTCATTTCTGCGTAGCCATCGCAGACAAAGCCAAAACGAGAGGTTTTATACTTTAATAGGCACTCGAGATAGGTGTACGGTTTATATCATTGTTTTGTCAACGTTTTATATATAATCTATTTATAATCATTGTAGTTTAAGTTTCCGTAAGTTGAACGTTTAACAGGACTATGTAAAACAGGTTTAAGATCTACCTGATATGTTTTATACTGTTTAAATTGTTGTTTGAAAGTTGAAAAAAGGTACTTGTAATTTGAGTGAATAACCTCCGCCAGTCTAACGACTGTGAGCAGAGTGGGTCATATTTACGAGGCCATCATGCGGACTATAAGCCAATACGAGAAACACCTGATATATTTTATCCTGTTTAAATTTGTTTTCTCTGTGCATAACCTTGGCCAGTCAAACGATTGTGAGGAGAGTGGGTCATTTTTACGAGGCCATCATGCGGACAAAGCCAATACGAGAAACAGGTTGTACTTATACGTACTCCAGATAAGTGTGGTTTATATATAATTGTTTTGTTTTGACGTTTAATGATATAACATATTTATATTGTAGTTTAAGTTCCTGCAATTTGAACGTTTAACAGGACCGTGTAAAACAGGTTTAAGATCCACCTGATATATTTTATCCTGTTTAAATTTGTTTTCTCTGTGCATTGGCCGGTCAAACGATTGTGAGGAGAGTGGGTCATTTTTACGTGGACATCATGCAGACCAGCCAACACGAGAAACAGGTTTTACTTATACGCACTCGAGATAAGTCTACAGTTTATATAGTATTATCATTGTTTTATCGGCGTTTTATATAATCTATTTTTATGTCGCTTACCGTAAATGATCGAATAGTATCTCTTTTGAATAAACGGTGGCTTATTAATTATTAAGGCATGTTTATGCCATTAACAGTGAGGATTTCCAATTACGTTTTTCCAATTTTAGATGAGTTTTCTACTATATTATAAAATATTTTTTTAAATAGAGAAAAAAGAAACAAGATGTTTCGTAAATTATCATTGAAACCCAATGTGGTTTTTCTCACGGAAATATTATTACTTACATTGCAGAAAACATAGTGTTACTATTTAGAAGTTGTAGGCCTAATACAGTGTAATAAGACGCCTCTCTAAAAAATAAGGACCTCGAAAAAGAAACAAAAATTATAATATAAGCGCCGTCTGGTGCGTGTTTGGTCATTTTCGGTATGTAACTTTGTTGTTTAATTGGTAAATGTAAACACACATACGCATTTATTTAGCACAGGGGTGGCGTTAGTGAAGAGAGTCGGGATAAGGGGCCTTCCCGTCTGGTGAGCTGCTCTTCCCCTTTGGGAGAGAAAACACAATTGGTCGAGAAGAAATATATATATATATATATATATATATATATATATATATATATATATAGTATCTGACAACGCCCACTTACGCTATCATCGGAGATTTTGGTCCTCCGTCGTGGATATCGAACCCACTTGTGAAAATACTGGCACCACCCCTGATTCAGCACGTTAAAAAATATCAACGCAACTAAGAGCCCACTACAAGAATGGCTTTATTTATGATGTCTGTTTTACTGATGTGTAAGCTAAAGGAGAATAAATCGTTGAATTTATACTCAAATATCACACTATGAATGTTATGTAGTTTTGGGGGAAAAATGAAAGATCGAAATTAAATATAGTTGTCGTTGAATATCATAGTGTGTTGTCTATTTCGTTGCGTTTCGTATAACTTCAAGAAACTGATACCATATCACATTCACATTCACATTCATTCAAATTGATTTGTAAAAAGCACCTAGTTGGAAGTTCGTGTTGAATAAAGGCCTACTCAAATCTGAAAATGATTGCAC